CCGCAATGATTACCTTGCTTCTGAAAACTTTAACAGGCAATAAAACCTACGATGGTTGATGAACAATTGCAAAGTCAATAACATCTATTAACTCCCCATTCCCCCCACCCAACAGGCAAAGCAGCAGAAAGTCTCTGGAGTTTAACCAGTTCTCTAAGAGTTAAACAGTTCTTAAAGTCTTCTCTGCTGTGGAAACGGCTAGCTGGGTCCTTGGTGTTCTTGCCAGAGGGGCCTCCATGGAGATGCAGATGCCGTCACTCTTTCAGATGGGTCCTCGGTGAATGCTGGCTCCCTCAGGCAGGGTTGCTCCGAAGAGGGAGAAGTGGCTGTCCTCTTGCTATAGGGTCGAATTAGTCAGGCTGGAATCCATACTGGAGAGTTTTTAACCTGTAACACAGACTAAAACTCTCACCCCTTGGTTAATTGTGTAATAAAAACACATTCCAGCATCTTAACAGGATTCTCCCCCATTCCAATCATGACTCAATCCTTGTGTCTCAGAGCCCTGCTGTTGCAAGATTCTCCATGGTTTTTGATGAGAGATCCACAGCCATTGGAATTGTTGTTTTCATGTAGTTAATATATTGCTTTCTTTGGCTGCTTTAAAATTTTCTGTCTTTTCAGCAGTTTGACTATAGTATTTCTGGACATAGCTCTATTTGGGCTCATTCTGTTTGGGTTTCACTGAACTTCTTGAATTTGTCATTGTTTGTCTTTCCCCCAATTTGGAAGGTTTTCAACAACTGATTCTTTAAATATGCTCTCCTCTGGTACCACATCACATGAAGATTAGGTCTTTTGTTAGTATCCCACTGGTATCTAAGGTCCTATTGATTAAAAATTATTTTCTCTGTTACCATCTGGATACTTTTTGATTTATCTGTAAGTACACCGATGCTTTCCTGTGTCTTTTCTATTCTTCTCTCAAACCCATCCACTCAGGTTTTAAAATTTGATTATTGTGGTTTTTTTTTTCCATTCTAAACTTTCCTTTTGTTTTTTCTTGAAATTTTCTACTTTTTTGCCAAGACTTTATCCCCGTTGGTTTTAGTAGTGTTCATGACTGGTTGTGGGAACAGTTGTATAACAAATAGCTGCATTAAAGTTTTTGTCGGATAATTCCAATAACTGTCATCTTGGAGTTGGTGTGTCTGTGCATTGTCTGTTCCCATGTGAGTTGAGATTTTACTAGTTCTTCATATATTGAGTAATTTTTTTTCTATTCTGGAAATTTTATGCATTGTTATATGAAACCCTAGACCTTATTTAAATCCTATGGAGAAAATGTGCATACTTTTGTTTTAGCAGGAGTTGACAATTAACTGATTCGTTTCAGGCCACAGATTCCAATCTGTCTCCCATGGGTTGTGGTTTTGATGTCAGTACTAGTTCTGAAGCCTTCAAAATGCTTTTCAGATCTGTTTTATATGTATACTACTCAGTGGCTCATCTGAGGTCTATGAGAACTTGAAAATCTTTTCCGCATTTTACCTCTTTTTATAAGGACCCTTCTTTAGAATCTTAGATCAAAATGCTCAGTAATGATAGCCATGAGCCATTTATTTCATCTTGTGTCATGGTAAAGGAGGCAGTTGTTCATGGAGGTAATTAGTCATGCATTCCATATCCTCCCCTCCTCTCCTTCATCCTCTGTTATTCCAGGTAACTTGAGACTCTGGTAGCGTAGTGGTTACGAATCAAGCTGCAAACCGCAAGGTCAGCAGTTCGAAACTACTGGCTGCTCTGTGGGAGAAAGATGAGGCGTTCTACTCCCGTAAAGATTAACAGCCTCGGAAACCCTGTGCAGGGTCGCTATGAGTCGGAACCAACACCATGGCACATAACAACAACAACAGAGACCAATAGTTGTACCTTGGATGACTGCTTGCAAGCTTTTAGAAACTCAGCCACTATGTAATGAACTAGGAAGTATAACAGAAGTACTAAAGATATTATTAAGCCAGTTAACTGGGATGTTCCATGAAGTCATGAACCTAAAGTACTGAACAAAGCAGCCAAATCCAGTGAGCTTTTTGGTTGTACATAAGCAGCTTCAACAGTTACTCTCTTTTATTTTTGGTCATTGTTGTAAATATGTCTATCACATAACTATTGAAGGAGATTTTAAAGAGGGAGAATATCTACACCTTTTCTGCATTAAGAGTTCCATTTCCTGTTTCTGGTGCCAGATCTAGAGAACTTTACCAGAGCTCTTGATGTCTGAGCCCCTGGGTCAACTTCCAGGTTTTTGGTTCATTGAGTTGATTGGGGAGACAGTAGGAGGGAAAATGGTAAACTGTCAACTTTGTTGTTGTTGTTAAGTGCCATCAAGTTGGTTACAACCCATAACGACTCTATCTGTATAGGGTTTCTGAGGAGCAGCTGGTGAGCTTGAACTGCCTACCTTGTGGTTCAAACTGATCTTGCAGTCCAGCACATTAACCCACAGTACCACAATAGGACTGTCAGTTTAGCTTACTTCAAATTCTAGTCTTCTTTTCCAATTGTCCTGCTAAGGTTTACTTTTCAGCTTTTATGTGGCTTTCCTATGTATTCTATCCTCATTTCATAGCTAAAAAACTGTTCTGAAAGGTCATTTAAACCACAAGGTTGGCAGTTCAAATTCACCAGCCACTCCTTGGAAACCGTACACAGGGTCTCTATGAGTCAGAACTGACTCAATGGCATTTAACAATAACAGTATTCAGTAGGAGTGATTGCGTGGACTGTTTTACCCCAACTTACCTGAAACTTGCGCTCTTGATAATCTATAAATGCTCTTTTTTTTTTTTTTTTTTTTTTATCATGTGACTAATGCTTGGCATAAAAAATGTGTATTTTTTTTCTGTTGTCAGTGACAATATATGAAGTGCACATGGCAACGGGTGACCTATGGAATGCTGGAACAAAAGCAAATGTCTATATTTCTATCTATGGAGAAAATGGAGATACAGGATCTAGACAACTATTTAGATCCAAAAATGCCTTCAATTTTTTAAGAGGACAAGTAAGTGACAAAAGTTTTATATATAATAACTTTTTATTATCAAATCTGAAATTGAATACATCATTTTCACTGTTACTATTAACATATATAAGGAGTTCTGGTGGTACAGTGGTTAAGCACTTGGTTGCTAACTGAAAGCTTGCATGTGTGAAACCATCCAGTGGGAATAAGACCTGAGGATCTGCTTCTGTAAAGATTACAGCCTAGAAAATGCTACAGCATAGTCACATGTGGTTGCTATGAGTCAAAATGGAATCAAAGCCACCAAACAGCAACAAAACAACACAACATTACACAGGAGCCAAGTAAACATTACTCAAGTAACACAGGACACCAGTCAAAAAAATCAGGTGACACTTTGCATTAGGCAAATCTGTTGAAAAAGACCTTTTTAGAGTGTTAAAGGACAAAGATGTCACTTTGAGGAGTAAGGTGTGCCTGACAAAAGTCATGGTATTTTCAATCACTTCATATGCATGCAAAATCTGGACAATGAATGAATAAGGACTGCTGTAGAAGAATGAATGAATTTGATTACGGTGTTGGAGAAGAATATTGAAAGTACCATGGCCTACCAGATGAACGAACGAATCTGTTTTAGAAGTACAGCCAAAATGCTCCTTAGAAATGAGGATGGGTAGACTTTGTCTTTCCTACGTTGGATGTAGTGTTATGAGGGACTAGTTTGTGGAGAAGGACATTATGCTTGGAAAGGTAGACTAGGTGAAAAAGATGAAGATCCTCAATGGCATTGATTGACACAGTGACAAGGAACAAAGTGTTCAAATATAACAATTGTGAGGATAGTGAAGGACTAGGAACTGTTTTGTTCTGTTATACCTATATAGAGTCGCTGTAAGTCAGAATGGACTTAATGGTACTGAACAACAACATTACACAAGTAGTATTTAGACGTTGTTTTGTCTTGTTTTTGTTATAGTTTTTTATTTGATTCTTCATATTTCAGTTATTTCACTTTTCTCTGATGGCCCACCCAGTTCTTAAATCAGTGCATCTGGATATTTTCATTGCATATTCTTTTCATTTTAATAGTTTTTATATCAGTTATCATTAAATAAATATCATAATTTTCTTTGCCAATATTTTGTTATTGATAAAAACTATACCTCAGGGTACCTCCTTTGTGAGCAGATCTGTTTGATAGATTGCTGTTGTTGTTAAGTGCCATCAACTCAGTTCCAACTAACAGCAATTATGTATAGGGTTTCTGAGGAGTGGCTGGTGAGTTTGAACTGCTGACCTTGCAGTTCAAACTGAACTGTGGTCCAGTTCTGCTCCTCTGGTGCCATACCAGGACTCTGATAGATAGAGTGATAACAAAAATCTGTTGTCATTGAGTTGATTCTGACTCCTGGTGACCTCTTATATTACAGACTAGAACTCAACCATAGGATTGTCTTGTGTGTAACTTTAATGGAAGCAGATCTCCAGACTTGTTGTGGTAATGTTAGGTAGATTTGGATTGCCAACTTTTAGGTTAGCAGTCAAGAGCAAACTATTTGTGCTATTAAGGCACCTTGCTGTGTTGTTGTTAAGTACCACTGAGTCAGTTCCAACTCATGGTGGACCTGTATAGGATTGCTAAGGAGTGGGTTTGAACCACCAACCTTGTGGTTAGCAATCCAGTGTTTATCTGGCAGTGCCACACCAGGACTCCTTACACGTTAGAGATTAACCCGAATCAGACATGAACAGTATTTTTGGTTAATAAATAGTAATGGTTTTCCCACTCAATAGCTTATATATTTTTAACAGTGTATCTGATGAAGTGGTAGAATGATTCAAAGGAAAATTGTCTAGAAACAATAATTTCTTTTAGACAGATCAACACAAGGCTAGTCCCTATGAGGTGGAGGTTAAATACATCCCAAATTTCTGACTTTCCTGGGTGCTATTGTTATTGTTGCTAAATACCATCAAGTCAGTTCCAACTCACAGCAACCATGAATAGGGTTTCCAAGGAGTGGTTAGTGAATTTGAACCACCACTTGGCACTACACTTGATGTCAGTGGTTTGATATAATGTATTTGCAACCTCTGTCTTTCTTGCTGGCATTTTGTGCCTCAGAGGGTGCAAGAGGGTTCAATTTCTTTCTGCATTGATGTAGTGTTCCTATGGTCACAATTGGCCAACTTAAGGGAGTGTACTAACATATCTACTTGTTGATTCCAAACAACTTCTTATCCAGGAAGGGGCCTCTTTTGATGGGAATTATACGCCCTACTCTGATGTGTACTTTGAATTCCTACAATGCTTTCCATAGGTTCTTATCCCATGCAAGTTTCCCTTCAGTTACAGTCCAGCTTTCTACTGCTCATTTGCTTGACCATAGAGCCAGGCCATTGGTCCATGAATCAGTAAAATCCAGACATATGGACTTTCATCATTGTCCAATGATTTTGCCAATGCTAGGAAGACAGCATTCATTATTCCCGTTGAACCGAACTGTTCTTATGTTCTTCCATCAGGGTCTTTCCATCTGTTGGTCTTGATGCAGCAGTTTTCCACTTCAAATATTGTCCATATGCCCTGGAACCACCATCAGTGAACCAGGAAGCCTTCTGTTAGTCAGCAGAAAGTTGTTCATAGGGCATTATCCAGGTGTCAAAGAGCTCTGGCAGTTTTTCAGGTGGCCAAAGGATAGGACCCATGAGAAATGAGGCTACCTGTTTGTGGATATGATGAGTGCATCCTTGCATTCCATCAGTAGCTTCTTCTTGTATGAATCATTTCCATTTTATTATAGAACAATTTTGTGTACTACCTTTTTTTTTTTCAAGGTTTTTATTGTGAATTGAGTGATAGTTTACATGGGAGAACATCTATTTTACACTTACCATTTCATTGCAATAGTTACAATCTCCTTTGTGCATCATCATTCAAGAGTATTTGCTTCTATTCCCCCTGTTTTTTTATAGTGGGGATGTACACCCAAACACTCATGAATATATAAGTATTTAAACAACAAAAGGACACATTCTGCAAGCCTGCCTTCTGGCTGCCAGCACACAACCTTTCTCTTTTCATGAGTCTAGAGTCCTCAGCTGCTCTATCTCTCCATGTCCTCATCTCTACCTCCATCTCTGGTGTCACTGCTTCTCTGGATAGGGTCCCACATTCTATTTGTGCTCTTCTTCCTTAATGGTCCTAGTGTTCTCTGTACCTGGACTGTAAGATTAACTACTCCTTTTTTGTTACAAAACTTCTACTTTTACAGTTGTGACAGTCACAATTAGTCATGATAACAATCACTCACTACTGAATCATAAGAATCTTATCCCCATCTCCTTTCACCAGACCCATCTAGACAAGATAAAAACTATTCAGTGGGGTTTCTACCTTCCCCTGCACACTCCGAAACTAAATTCCCTTTTGAAAATTTGTAAGCCAGTTACTTACTGCCTTTATAGCCTTCTTTCCAACCCCCATTTTAGGTAGCCAATGTTTAAGTTGCTCATCCCTATCAACCCTGTATACATAGGGGATAGGATTGATACTTAATGTGCAGACTCCTTCCCTCTCAATTGGTACTTTGAGCTATTACATCCATAAGTATAGTTTAAGTTCATCAAATTGTAGCAGTTTACACTTGTTGTCTTTATTAATTTTTTTTTTTTTCATCTTCCTCTAGTCAAGTTCTGATTAGCAAGCCATCGAAACTAGGTTGAATGGGTACTATGTACAAGTTTGGCATCTCCCCTCACTTCATATCAGCTGGACACTTTGCTCTCAGCTCTATCCTTCTGTGGCTATGTCCTTGTCCATGGGCTCAGGAGTACCCAGATCTCACCCCACTTTGGACCAACCTAGCCCTTCCTCCTCTCTCTTACCTCCAGGTCAGCAAGAGTTTATGGACATTGTCTGACTCAGCCCATATCTTCATTGCTGCCTTTCCCCTCTTCCACTCACCAGTAGACCTACGTGGTTGCCAGCAAGCGTACATGCCTGCTGTTGTGTTCCTGTTGAGTTTCAGTGTTAGGGGGAAGGGGTTTGTCCTGAATGGACTTAATTGTTTGCTTTGATGGCTCCCCACAAAACAGCTTGCTTGTTCTTGTAGTAGCCAAACAGACTGCCATTTTTGTTTTACCTGCTGGTCTTTCTCTCAAGAAGCACTTTCTGTTCCTCTAGCTGCTCCAGGCTGGTCTGCTTGTCCTTTGAAAATGTACCACCTTTCTTATTTGAGTGTTAGACATCACTAATAACATTATAGGTGTCTTGGGTCTCATGATGATTTATGTCCTTCTTTCACTGAGACAGTCTCAATTAATGCACAATAGCAGACAGCTAATTGCTTTTCAGATTGCATCTGAAAACTTATTTGTCCAGGTAGTTGCAAGGCAGCATTCTCAAATTTTTTCATAAGTTCCGCTCTGCATAAGTACATATACCTTGTTGTTGCTAGACGCCATCGAGTCGGTACTGACTCATAGCGACCTATGCACAATAGAACAAAACACTGCCTGATCCTGGGCCAACTTCACAATTGTTGCCAAACTTGAGCCCATTGATGCTGCTACTTTGCCAATCTATCTCACTGGGGATCTTCTTCTTTATCTCTGACCCTCCACCTTACCAAACATGATATCCTTCTCCAGCAACAAGTCCTTCCTGACAATATGTCTGAAGTATGACAGACGAAGTTTGGCCATCCTGGCCTCCAAGGAGCACTCTGGCAGCACTTCTTCAAATACAGATCTGTTGGTTCTTTTACCAATGCATAGCACTTTCAATATTATCCTCCAACACCATAACTCAAAAGCATCAATTCTTCTATGGTCTTCCTTATTCCGTGTCCAGCTTTCACAAGCATATGAGGTTATTGAAAATACCATGGTTTGGGTCAGGCGCACCTTAGTCCTCAAGCACCTTAGTCCTCAAGCTGACATCTTTACTCTTCAACACTTTAAAAAGTTCCCGTGCAGCAGATTTGCCTAATGCAATACGTCATTTCATTTGTTGACTGCTTCTTCCATGAGTG